GAGCATCAAAATAAAATCGCCATATTGATTTACATAGCATGCTCATTGGTCCAGACATCGCCTGCGTAATTGAGGTTCGGTATCTAAGATTCTGACCCTATCCCAAACAAAATTATGGTTGAAATTTATTCTATGTTCGGTAATCACTGAGTGGTTGCTCGTATTTCTCCTGATATGATTTTTATGCTCTGTAATACGTGTATTTAATTGTCGTTTTGTCTGACCAACATAAGAGGCATCACAATCATTACAGTCAATTTTGTATATGACATTTTGACGGGCCATCAAAGGACAAGGGTCTTTATGTACTTTTATCAGAGAATTCAATTTATTAAGACTCTGATAAGATAGCCTAACGTTTAAGTCACCCGTGATTTTTTTAAATTGTTCAGATATCCCAGAAACATACGGAATTGTAAAAAATGAAACATTCTCTTTTTCTCGTGTGGTATTTTCCGAATTATAACTAGTCCTGTGAAGCAGATGTTTTAGGCGTTCATGTAAAACGCGGAAAATAAAATTTATTGGATAGCCGTTATCCAACAATATTTCAATGATCAATTTAAAATTATCCTGATGAAAGCGAGGGTGTGATAACAAAAAGACCCTGTCGATAAGACCAATTATGGTGCCCCTTTTTTGACAGAGGGGATGGTTAGAACGGAAATGCAAATATCTACCGGAAAACGTAGGCTTACGGTACCAGTCGAAAATCAAGCAGTCACCCTCAACGATCATGGTGATGTCCAAAAAATTCAGTCTATTCTTCTCTCCAATCTCAACAGTAACTTGTAATCTCGGGTGGAAAGAATTAAAAGTCTGTAGGGTGTGGTTAAGAGAGGAAGCGGGAACCCTTGTTGAGACGCTGTGGATTGCCATCTCAATTGGCACGTTGGTGAATAATGAAACTACATCCAACAATACCAATAGAAAATTGTTGTCAATGCTAATGTCAGATAGTTTTTTGACTAAATCAAAACTATTAATAACGTGGCTGTGGGCCTTGGGAAAATATTTAAACATAATGCGATGTAAAAAAGAAGCTAAAAAATATAGCGGACTATTGACCGATAAAATAATTATGCGGAACGGGCAACCAGGCTTGTGGACCTTGGGAAGTCCGTATGCTTTTGGTAAAATGCCGTCACTACAATATAGTGATCTGTATGTCGAAGGAGAAATAAATTCTGAATCTCTCCATCTTGTCAGTAAATCCCGTAAACGAGAAGTGAGATTTTTGGTTGGGTCTTTTTTGATTTTTGGTTGGGCAATTCCCATTTGCTCTTAAAAGTATACTCTCCTACTCCTACAGCCTTGTTACTGCCATTGTAGAATGCCCTTTAGGCCCGTTCTACAATAAGTCGTATGTCGTTAGTCGTTATCAAATTGACCAACGACAGTCGATTATTCCGAGAATATTCGACTGTAATTGGTCACTTTTCTTACGACTAACAACATACGACTTATTGTAGAACAGGCCTTACATCCCCAGGGAGCGTACCCTGCCGAAAATGATCGATTAAAACGGATTTTAAAAAATGTAATCCGAATCGATCGGGATTTCTGCACCGAAAATGCGGTATTAAAACCGATTGAAAATAGTCAAATCGAATTTAGTATGCTTCAGGAAAACTGATTAAAACGGATTTTGTTTAGCTTTGTTTTTATCGATCATTTTCGGCAGGGTATTCCCTTCAGCGGACTCCCTCTCAATTAGGGGTCACGAATCATGGCCATTTTTTCTACTCGCGCGCTTCAAGTTCGATCTCCTTCTCTCTTACTTCATGGTCTATGGGTGCGTTCGGAGAGCACGCTTACACGCTACGAACCGCAAACGCCAATTCAATCGTTTGGGGAGCTATTGTGGCGCTCACGGTTGCAAGCTCCTCGAACGAATTTCATTGCATTGTGAGCGTGAGCAATATGGCGAATATGGATGAAGATAACCATATTAACTTACCACCGCAACGAGTTGAAATTTTGCGTGGGATTGCAACAGTTTCGATAAAAAAATATTTTATTTGAAGTTTATGTAAAATTAGTATTTATTTTACATATGTCAATTGATAACAAATCATACATCTTCATACAATTATTTTATAAGAAATCTTCAGAAATAAATATTTTTAATTATCTTTAAAAGTAAAAAAATATTATTAAACATCTTATTATCTTAATAACGAAAACTTCTTATTATCCCGAGCAACGCCAGAGTAGGAAGTCTCTTCTCGCCGCGCGCTTGTGTAAGGCATGGATTGGCCCATCTTTTTAAATTAATTTCTAAATAATTATTACGAAAATCGCAAAATGGTAAAGGACTTTTCTTCTCGGTTTCATGTGCTCTACCTGCACATGGCGGGTGATCCGCGAATTATGGGACACCCTGTATAATCAGAGAAGCAATGGCCGCGTTCAGCAGAGAAAACTGCTTAGTAGTAATCGAATGTGATTGGTTCTTACTTTTAGAACCAACGAATCAACGTCAAGTGTTGACCTGGGAGTCGATTGTGTATCTTTGAAACGAAATGAAAATTACAAAAGTGAACGAATTTACTTGATTTCGACAAATGAAATCATGGATACTCTAGTAAATTTACTCACTTTTGTAATTTTCACATCGTTTTAAGATACACAATCAACCTCAAGACGATAACTGAGCGCTTTCTCTGCTGAACGTGGCCAATGAATAAAGAATCACAGGAGAGATCATATCGGTGGTGGGGATAAATTTATCGCGAACGGTAGTACGTCATCGCAGCCATCTTGAGCGTTCACTTTTTTCGACGTTTTTCAGGGTCGTGTACAGTCACTTGTTGCCTTACTTATTCCAGTCTGCACTTATTTTGCGTACCATCATCGATTCTAAATAAGTGAGAGGAAGAGCCGGTATTAGGCTAACAAAATATTATTAATAAGTTTTAATTGTAAGATCATGATGTATTGCCAGGGCTTTGAGGTACTTCCAGTATCTCTGTCATGCTCTTAGAACATATATAAATGGAAGGGGAATAGCAGGCTGAAAAATGTCGGAAGGAAGTGAGAAAGAAATCGTAGTTGCCTCTCTCTTGTGAGTAACGACACACACGAGCATCGTGTCTGTAGTATACATACTTTTGTGTACACACACATGGCCGCGCATGCGCACTTTTGAGCAGAGTAACTCACAAGAGAGAGGCAACTATGATTTTCTTTCTCACTTCCTTCCGACATGATTTTCTATCGGCAAACAAAGGCATTCTCCTTCCATTTATATATGTTCTAAGGTCATGCTGCAATTCGTCCCTGAGCGGCCATCTTGAGCGTCCACTTATATATAGGCACTTCCGTCCGCTTGCTAGCACCAAATGCTCTCTCCTGTGATTCTTTACTCATTGCAGAGAAGCGACATCGTTACCCCCTCCATGCTTTCCATGATCGCCATGTTAGTCCCGCAGTTGCCCATTTGTAATCTAAAATGTCTTAAAAATGTCTCAGAGATATTTAAGGTGTTTTTTTTAGAAAATAATATTAGTTGGCGTCGGGACGCTACCGCGTCGCTTGGCAAATATACTTTTTTCTCACTTACGATACGCCGGTTGCGGTTAGTTTGCACGTAGGATTCACTACGGGACCAACATAGGGCGCGTTCCACTTAACGACCGCAACGCTCGCGAGCATCATCTGTCTTTGTTTAACTTTTGGTGAACAACAAAGATGAAATGATACCGTGAGCGTTGCGGTCATTAAGTGGAACGGGCTCGTGGCGGTCAGCCAATCAGCAAGCGGAACGCCTTTGTCGCTTCTCTGTTTATATAGGGCCGGTATTTATAGTCAGTTCTTATTTCAAGACCGTTTTGAAGTCCGTATCAGACTATGCATTGAAATTGGTCAAATTTCGGTTTTGAATCTTCAATCTCAATCTTCAATGCGTAGTCTGATACGGGCATTAAGTAAGGTCTTAAGATGCTAATACGGCTCTGTGATTGGTTTAGGATAGTGCTGGGATTTAGATGCAACTTTCGGCCGGATTTCTTGACTCACGCTTACGGTCCCTTTATTTCTATTATTACGGTTACTTCATTTCTATTATTACTATAGTAACTATAGTAATAACAGTTACTAATAATATAAATGAAGTAGGACTTTAGAGTGCAAACCCATGCAGCGGAATAGCGTAACGCGGAACGAAAGCGGAACCAATCACGAACGTTCCGCAATTTCGTTCCGTTTTCAGTAGTTTCTAGCGGAATAGGTTTCGCAGATTGCATAATGTACATACACATCTATACATATACACATGGCAGTAAAAGCTAACTTCAAAATTTTCCTTTATCTCTCAAAAATAAGAAATAACTTGTAATAATTAATAATTTATCTCTGTTTCTGTACTGGCCACGTTGCTCTACGCTGCAATTTAACAAAGTATATGTGTACATACATACAGTTCCGTCATTTTCGTTACGTGGATTTCAAGTCCCTACATCCCCATGAAGCGGAATGAGCGCAAGCAGAACGAACAGAACGTCTCTAAAATTACTTTTAAATATTGTTTTTATTGGTCGTTCTTTATTATCGTGTACATAAATATTGAAATGAATGCGTTCTTATTGGAAATATTGATTAAAAATGTTAAATAAGTTAAATAAGTTTTAATGCGGTTTTAACTCTTTTGAAATAATGACTCGTGATTGGTTGCGCATTGGTCCGCGGTGCGCTCATTACCCTGCCGAAAATGGTCGATTAAAACCGATTAAAACATAATTTGTTTTAATCGGTTTTAATCGGTTCAATCCGCGCGCGGATTAAAAAGTAATCGATTTTAATTCCGAACGAACTATAATCGGTTTTAATATCGCTTTCGCGGATTATTTCCAATCTAAAATCATTACATTCCAATCGCAGCCGCGAGCCGCTAGTGTGATTCGGGCTTTACGCTATTCTGCTGCATGGGTTCGCACCTTAATGGCGGTCAGCCAATCAGCAAGCGGAACGCTATTGTCGCTTCTCTGATTATATAGGACTCTACTGGAATCTATTGTTGTTCTTCCATTCAACTTTAGTTTATGCACAAACTCCGGAAATCTACTATATTTGAAATTCGAAGTGATCCAGAGTTTGGATTGTACGCGACTTTACGTGTTATAACACTAACTTTAAAATGGCAGAAGAAGGTAAATAGTACACATTATTTTTGTATGCACGTCGCGAATTCTTTTTCTCCAAAATTAATTTTGTATGCTCGTGCTTTTTTACATTATTGTGATTGTCAGTAACGTCTTGGGCCGCGTGTTTTCTATTATGTTTCCATGTTGTAATACCTCATGATATACACGTGTTTTTGCTTAGTTGTACGATCGATTAAAATGACAGTATTATCGGAAATATCGCAAAATACTAACACATCCCTAGCATTCGCGCCGTCATCCATAAATTTGTTCTAACAAATTTAGTTTAAAAAAAAAACAGATTTGCCGTATATAATTGTATAGAGACGAAGATGTAGGTTAGATTTTATCGGTCTTGTTGCAGATAAGAGTAAGAAGAACAAGAACAAGAAGAACAAACTATCGCTTGGAGAAATTCAAAGGACGATGAAGTGCGAGATAGTACCCTCCAATAAGGAGGTGAAACTGGAATGTAAAGATTGGCCTCTTCTGTTTAAGGTCGGTTTTTGTAAATCCTTTTTCACACATTAATAATAATCAGACAAGATATTCATGAAAAAAAATTTCTCATTTATTTATTACAGAATTTTGACAAAATGCTGACACGTACGAAACATTTTACACCTTTGACAAGCGGTTCTACCCCACTTAATCGTAGCTTATCAGAATACATAAAGTCAGGATGCATCAACTTGGACAAACCATGTAATCCATCGTCGCATGAGGTGGTGGCTTGGATAAAGAGGATTTTAAGGGTGGAGAAGACTGGTCACTCAGGCACATTAGATCCTAAAGTATCAGGATGTTTGATAGTTTGTATAGACAGGGCGACCAGATTAGCCAAGTCGCAACAGTCAGCTGGAAAGGAATATGTTGCTGTGTTTAAACTTCACTCTGCACCAGAAAGTATTCAGAAGGTAAGTCATCAGAATACTATTAAGATACCTCCCTTGCACGATACCATACATTGATGTTATATAATGATTTAGGTAAAGCAGTCATTGGAAAAGTTGCATGGTGCTCTCTTCCAAAGGCCACCATTAATATCGGCGGTCAAAAGACAGCTTCGCGTTAGGACAGTATATGAAAATGAATTGCTTGATTATAATAAGGAAATTAATATGGGAGTATTTCGTGTTAGCTGTGAGGCTGGCTCTTACATAAGAACTATGTGTGTCCATCTCGGGTTGTATGTAGGTACCGGCGCTAATATGCAAGAACTTCGGAGGATTCGTTCTGGCATTCAATCCGAAAAGGATGCCATGGTTACAATGCATGACATTCTAGATGCCCAATGGTTGTACGACAATCATGGAGACGAATCTTATCTAAGGAGAGTTATAAAACCATTAGAAGCATTATTAATTAATCACAAAAGGATCGTATTGAAAGATAGCGCTGTACGTTCGGGCTTTTATTTTTTAATTAATACAAGAACAACCTATTTTTATTTCATTTTATTAACAACAATATATTTTTATTTCACGGCATTATTTTATAAATTTGTAGGTGAATGCAATTTGTTACGGAGCTAAAATAATGCTGCCAGGCGTTATAATGTATGACCAAGGGATAGAATTAAACCAAAATACTACCAGGCGCGCGGATCACCGACGTGCGCCCGGCTAAAGGTCGGCACTAATTAGCCAGACTTTACTCAATAATAACTCCTTTATTAAGCGTTATAAAAAAAAATGGTTCAGGACTTTTTGACTCAGTTTGACCCAATTTACATTTATCTTTCGTTTGATCACTTACTTGTTGGACACCCTGTATATATATACAAGGTAGGCAATTTTAATGTATCCACTAAAATATCTTAAAATCTATAAGTTTAAGACAAAAATGTTTTAGACAAAAGTTGTATGATTCACAGGGGGACACATGATGAAAATATGGACTTGACCTTGAGCAATCTTTTCAAGACCAAGTCCATATGTGATCGATGTTTTCTTAAATGTCCACTAGATCCACCACGTGGTGACGGTGGAAGATCGTATTATTAATTGGGAGCAGAAGAGGGGGCTGCTTAGGCGTAGTGGTTTAGGATGGACTACTCGAGGAGGCTTCCATTCATACTGGTGATGAGTCAAAACTCATCGCTGAGCGGAAGAGATGGATGCTTGGTTCGTGCCTCCTCCCGCCTTAAATCCCCCCCTCGCTTCACTCGAAAATATGGACTTGACCTTGAGCGATCTTTTCAAGACCAAGACCATATGTGATCGATGTTTTCTTAAATGGAACTCTCCATTTTTTATTGCATATTCTTGTAACTTATCTCGAGTTTTTCAAAACACTATAATAAAGTATTTTTTTTATTAAATACTTTTTGAGTTATTTTATATTTTAATCTGACATATTTTGATATAAAAAATAAAATATCTCGTAAAATATTTAGTTTTCGATAATCTTACCGTAATACTTTTATGTACAGAATAATGAGACAAATCAAATAGTGTAAAGAAAAAAAAATAGTTTTTATACTTTTTTACATTTGTATTTTGTTCTAAAAAAATACATTGTAAATAATTACATACCTTTTCTTAAAAACAATTATTTTTTTACACTAATTGATTTGTCTCATTATTCTGTACATAAAAGTATTACGGTAAGATCGAAAACTAAATATTTTACGAGATATTTTAATTTTTATATCAAAATATGTCAGAATAAAAAATAAAATAACTCAAAAAGTACTTAAGATAAAAGTACCGATTGCCGGACATGTCCCTATATCCGGACATTTACATGAAAAATAGATTTTAAGATATTTCAGTGGATACATTAAAATGGCCTACCCTGTATATATATACAGGGTGTCTCATAATAATCGCCTCACCCATAATGTGCAGGTAGAGCGGGTTAAACTGAGCAGGAAAGTCCTGTATCATTTTGCGATTTTTGTTATAATTATTGAGAAGTTAATTAATAAAGATCGACCAATTCATGCAAGTATAAGGACGCAGCGAGAAGAGAACCCAAAAGTAGGCGCGCGACAAAATTTTGAGAGGAGTGCTTTACAAATGACAACAGTTATGTACGAGTGGTGTATAATATTCCGTCGAATATTCGACTGTGATTGGTCGATTTGCTTGCGACTGGCGACATGCGATCAATGTAGAACGGGCTTAACAATGGATTCTCGCGTCAAAGCGAGCCTCGCGAGCGA